AGTGTCAACCGTGGAAGTGTACAGAGATCCACCTTTTTAAAACACTCAGCAACTTCAAAGGGTGTACAACAATTATTGTCCTACTGCATGAAACAGTTCTGCTTTCAGTTCTCCAAGCTAGACACTCAGTGGATGGTTGCCTGGGTGACAGCCTGTAAACTAAGCTGTTTCCTTGCAGCTAACTGAAGGGTTTGTATACGCGGAACTAGTTTTAATTAAACAAAACAGAACAAAACAAAAAACCACACAAACTTGGGATTGTGCAACATTGGAAAATAATCAAAGAAAAATCTAAATCTATGCTGCTTTTGAATGGATCCCTAATTGGAAGTATGAGTTTGAAAGCTGGCCCAGAAATCAAGGCCACAATGAATTAAGATGATGTTGGCTGCTGTTTGGCTTGAGGCTCAACTGTATACCAATTCCCTCAGTAAAACTCACCATAGGTAAGCCCAATCTCCACTTTTCAACTTGTTTTAGATAGTATAATATGTTGCAGCTTTTTTGTTCTCCCCAAAGGAAATCTTGGAGAACATCAGGTAAATTAATGTAGGAAACTGTGTCCTTCTCTCAAATAGTTATATTCTTAGAATGTTGTAATAAGCTGTTTTTGACTTTTAAAATATTGTAGTAATCCCTTCTAAGACTTTATGCAAAATACCTCTAGATCATAAGCTAACCTAGTGTATACAAAAAAGCATATAAAAGCACTTGCTTCTGTTGAATTATATACAGGAAAATCATCTAAATATTTGTTAACTTCACATGATATAAATCTTGCAGGCACTCAGTATTATATACTTGTGAACTGGAAACATTTATTAACATAAAATTAAATTCTTTTTACTTTAATCCTTTATTACATCAGATTCCAAAGCAAATGTACAACATAGTAAAGAGTTTTGGCTTTACAAGTAGACCATATATGAAATCAAAGGTTAAAAAAAGACTAGTTTTTAATAGAGCTCTGTGAAATGAAACATTTAAAAATCATTGCTTACAATAATTCTAAATGGAAAATTAAGAGATTGCTAAAGAAACTTTAGACTAGAAATTCACAGATTGGAGGTCAGAAGAAGAAATACAGCTCACTAGTGAAAAATGACATAGGACTGTCCACGTTAGTTGAAAGAGTGACTTGTATTTGGGGATATTGTTGTGTTCATTAAATATGTATTTTTTTCCAGCTACTGTTAAGTGTGTGAGTCAGAAGATGACCAAATAATGGTCATATGGCTAATGACTTGATTTGATACCATTGGGACTGCAGTTTTGTTAAGTCAAAATTTCCATTTTTTATAATAGTTGATAGAAACGGCTTGTGAAATGCTCTCTACTAAAGGTTACACGAAAGAGTAATAATAAACCCCACCACACACATTGCTAGGTAATGACCTTGAAAAAAGTATCTTTGAGGTTTTATGAATAAACTGATATTACTATTACTTGTCTTGTTACTTGAAGATTTGATATTTAGCTTTACTGTGGGAAAAATTTTAATTATCCTTTGTTTATGAAATTGTTTATTTTATCTGAAATAATACTGCCAACACTGTTGGTCTTTCCAAAATATCTGTGTAGATGAACCTAAGTTACAAAGCAATTTTCTGGGACGGACAGGTGTACTGGTGTGAAATTTTTCTGTGGCCTGATTTTGAGGATGTCATCTACTTTTTCCATCCTTCAGTAAAGTTCCAAGTATACATCATGTATTAAATGCTATTGATTTGTATGGTGATTAAGAGATAACAATCAACCGAAAGTCTGCTTAGAAGAGATTTAAGAAAACAGGCACGGCTGGTGGGAGTGTAAAGTGATAAAGCAGTTTTAGGGAATGATCTGGCAGTATTTAGTGAAATTGGATGTCCTTAACCTTGGTTAACTCAAAATGAGTAACAGGTGGTAGTGATGAATGTCATTAGAAAATAAAGAGAACTGCAAGAAAGATTATGTGTTGAACTGCAATCACTAGGTCACTGTTTCCAGGAGTTGCTGGATAACAGGACTCACCTGAGTGTTTGATGAACGGAAGAAAGGAGCCTCAATGGCAGTGGTGGTCACAGCAGTCTGTAGTGGTGCATGCCCGAGTCCCAGACTCTCAGGCTGCAGAGGCAAGGCTGACCTGAGCAAGTGTGACCCATTTCAAAGTGAAAATTAAAAAGTGTTGAGAATGCAGCTTAGTTATAGAGTTGGTTAGCATCCACAAGGCTCTGAGTTTGATCCCTATCCCTGGGAAGAAAAACAAAATCACTGGTTGCCAGAGGTCAGCAGAAGAAGAAAAGAAAAAGCAGAGAACAAAGGGTTTTAGGCTACAATAAAGCTATTTTCTATGATACTATTATAAGGGATGCATGAGCACATGACATTATGCATTCGTCCAAACTCTTAGAATGTACAACGCCAAGAGTGAGCCCTAGTGTAAAGTATGGATTTGGGGTGATAATACTGTTTTTAGGTTCTTCAGTTAACAAATGTAGCATTCTGATGCAGGTTGTTGACAGTGGAGAGAACCATGGAAGTGTGGATCAAAGAGGAGGATGTACACTGTATTCTTGTTCAGTTTTGTGTTAACCTAAAATTGTTCAAGGAATAAAGCCTATTTTAAATACATATTAAAAATTTAAAGTAGTTGTTTCTTTTTAAATGAGCCTCTCTAGCCTCAATACAGACTCACTTTAAAGGAACCTAGGAATCTTTATAACAAGGAGACAAATAATTTACAGGAGCAGCTTAGGAAATTGTGCTGAGCTAAGGCCATCATTTCTTTAAAAACCAAGAGAGATACACACCCTGTTTACACACTGGCTTACTGCTGCCCTCATCTTCTGCCGTTCTGGAAATGGAATAACCCCACCTTCCTCTCACTGCATTAGACCCTGCCTACTGCCAGTCCCCAGCCTCTTGGATTTGTCCTTCGTTTTCTAAGGCCAGTCTGTCACAAATCTTTTGCTTTTGCTTTTTTGTTTCTGCCATAATAATCTTCCTAAAGCATCAAGGTTTCTAAAGGCACTGCTAATTCTCCATGGTCTTCCCAGCCAGTTAAGAATGTAGTATAAGCATTCATCTGAGTCTTCTCTCCCTTCCGTGGCCCTAGGTCTAGATGGTTCATGACTGGAGTTCCTTCCCCAGGCAGAACTGCTCTTTCTCCTTCACTTTGAACCTCAGATACTACTGATACTTTCTTTCCAGGCAGTGTTCCAGCCCACACTGTCATCCTATTTCTCTAACATCTGTTGCTTACAATGATAAGCTGGTATTTTGGGGTTTTTATTTTTGTTTTAAAATTCCTCCGTTTACTTATTTAATTTGAGACAGGGTCTCATTATGTAGTTCAGGCTGGCTTTGAACTCACTATGTAGCCAAGGCTGACCTTGACTTATAACAATCCTCCTGCCTCAGACTCCCCAGTGCCAGGATTACATGCACCACCATACCTTGCCAATCTTGTATTTTGTTTCTTCTATTTTGACTTAACTAATTTATTTTCCTTATAACAGGTCAATAAAAGATCCTGAAGGGCACCTAGATCTTCCTAATGAATGAATGAATTCAATAGAATTATTATTTCTGGAGTAAGGCACATTTAGTATATATAGTATTATATACTATATATATTTTTTTTAAGAAAAAAGGCTGTATTTAGTTCAGCCTATGAAAGGAATTCGTATGTTCAGAACATTGAAGATCAACTTTAAGCTTTTTCTTATTTTCTTAGCTTTTCTTCACAAAGTTGTGCAATGAAATGAGACCCTTATTCTTTTTTTTCCAGCCACATACCAGATCATAGCAAGTAAACCATCCTTTCCATGAAGAGCATGTACCCACATTCACTGACTATGGTGTCAGAAGCAAAAGCTAGAGTGTGGTTTCTAACAAAGAATTTGTATTGTTTCTAACAGCAAGGCATGTCATGGGAAGAGTATAGTTTTGGGGAATTGTAATTGCGATCAAAGAAGTATTTCTACACTTTGAGAAACTGAGATGGGATGTTTAGAACTTTCCTGGAAAAAATAAAATAGTGGCTACTATGCTCTCAGTGCTAGAATTATGGAATCTACAAAAAGAGTAAGGCATGTAATGATCCCTGCTATTAAGGAATTTATGGTATAATTGGGAAGATAGGAATCCCATAAGGAAAATAATTATAAAGTGGTAAATATACCACACTAAAAAAGTAAAATCTATGGGGCATCACTGTGCACACCTGTAATCCCAGCACTTGAGAGGGCGAGGCAGGAGGATTACTGTGAGTTTGAGGCCAGCCTGGGTTACATGGTGAGTTCAAGGTCAGTCTGATCTACATAGTAAGACCCTGCTTAAAAAAACAAAACCAAAAAACTCTAACAAGAATTTTCCCTTACTGAATGTATGGATGCTTTGTAGGTAGTACTTCAACCTTGCCAAACTTTGAAGAGGGGACTGTTATTTCTGGTTTTGAGATGAGGAATTGAAGCTCAGAAGAGATGAGCAACATTCCTGATGTTATGCAGTCAGTACTCGGGAGAATTTGAATCAAGATTCTATCAGACTAGACAGCCTGTGCTCTTTCCATTCTGGTGTTGGTTTATTCTTTCCTCTCCTGTACCATGGCAGGTCTTCCAAAGTAATGATAAAGTTACTGTTGTTACAAATTTAAAACATGTACAGAGAACCAAACCTGTTGGAAATACGGGATTTTTTTTCGTGCCTAAATCTTATAATCTAAACAACTACTTTTAAGATAACAATATGCAATATATTAGTGTTAATTTCTTATTATTTGAAATAATAATTTCAATTATTATATTATTTTGAAATTCTGTATTGCTTTTATCCTTTTTTGTTTTTAAAATTAGAAAATAAAAAGATAACATGAAAAATGAAAAGAAAGCATTACAATATTTTTACATCTAAAAAATAAAACGTGTTGATGAAGGCAGAATACATCTGAACCACCTACTGTTTTACTGGCTCTCATATAATTAAATAGTTTCTTTTCTTTTGAAGGCAATTGTATGGGACTAGAAAGATGGATAAAAATAAACTGATTCATGATTTCCTGGAGGTTGTTTCAAGAGGTGATGTGGAGCTCATCTGTGATCACATTACTGAAGTCCATTCCGTCCTTGGGAACCTTGACTTTCAGCATCCCCAAAGTGGGAATACACCTCTCATTACTGCAGCAGAAGAAAACCTAACAGAGGTACAGGGGAAGAAAAATGATTTGGGTGTGTGTGTGTCTATGCCAATAAGCAAGGGATATTTGCATTTGGCTTTCAGATTTATATTCGGAGGTGTCTTGTCTTCAACCAGATGAACTTTCAGTGTTTTCAATCCACCCAAAGCCCTATGTCAGGTGAAAATCTCATTACACATTACTAACACTGTCTATTTCAGTATTAAGGACATGGCCAGAGCCATATCACTTTCTGGCTGGAGTTGTGGGGTTTGCAGTCTTTGTTTAACACAAGCTTGATTTGGCTTCTTTCTTGTTTAGAGGGAGCCTACTTTAGTTCAGGTCATTTGCTGCCCTGTTATCATGACATCTTTCAAATTTTCACCCATTTTTTTCACTTGGAAAGTTTTATAGGGCAGTGAGGCCAATGACAAGAATTTATCTAGATTTCTTTGATTCAGTTTCTCACTCTCCAGGGTGTCCCTTACTGAATATTGCACACCTAATGTAAACTAGGAAGAGTGCACTGATCAATCTGTGGTTCTTATGAGAGTTAGTCTGTTTCAGAGAAACTGAACCAAAAAGGTCCAAAGTTTCCTTAGGACAGCGAAAATCCAACACACACACACACACACACACACACACACATCCTGCCACCTACCCTCATCATTGAATGGACCTAAGGTTGTCATTAGGAAGCGCTGAGCTGTGACAATAGCTCTTTCCACTCTTTCTTGATAAGCACTATGCACACCATCACTTCTCCTAAGTGAACCAATAAAATTCATGGTTTCTGCCCATGTTAGTGGTGACTTTTCTCTCTTTCATTCCTTTTTCTTTTTTACCCATCAGTGAAGATGCACAGTTCTGTGACTCTTGCCTGAAAGACAACAGAATCTTTTCCCACCCTGGGTGGTTGATATTATTTGTTACCATGGTATGGATCTGAGGCAAGCTGTCAGATTGGTTAGGAACATAATTCCCACAGGAAAGTTAGCAAAACAGAACACTGAGTAAGTCTTTGAACTTATTTCCTGATGCTCAATTTGCATCCACTTCCCAGTCCCACCTCATTAACAGTTAATAAAGTAGAAGATTGTTTCTTGCCAAACTGACCTCCTGTTTGGTTAATATATTTGCTGCTGTTTTCCCATGAACTTTCTTTAAATACCATTAATTTAAAAATTAAAAAATAAACACCATTAATTAAGCCATGAAATCTACATTCTCATTCCTGTCTCTCTTATTATCTCATTTTTTTTTGGGTAAAAATTATCAACCATGAAACATCTGAGACTTTTTCTTACTTGCAAGCTAACAAGTGAGAATGTCACAGGTTCGTAGACTCCTGAATCAAAGGAAAATAATAGTTTACTACCTTTATTTCTAGTAAGAGGAAGAGTATCAGAATTTCTTTCAGTTTTCCATGCCTGGGCTTGCTCGGGGCAATCTGAAGAGGGCCAGGAGTATGGAGAGTTTATACAAGAGGAACCACAAGCCCAAGGAACCCTAACCTTTTACAATGGACATGTCTTCCCACTGCTCCAGAGGGAGACATTATCTTTGTTTTCTAAGGCTGTTCACTATATAAACATCTTTGAAAATAGTGTAGTACAAAGGTAGTGGATGCCTCTTCTCTGCTCATAGGACTGTAGTGAGCTGTGGAGGATGTCTTCCAACAGCCTCTCTACAGAATGACCTACTGATTTATCCTCATTGTTTCTGTTTCCTCACCTCTGGGAGTTACTGTAGTTTGGCATCCGTCTCTACTACTTTATTGAAACTGCTTTTGCCAATACCATCTACAATGTCGTTGGTCACTTTCACCTCTTAGTAGCACTTGACACCAATTTTTTCCCCCATTTGTGTCTCTTCTAGTTTTCCTCTCTCCTCTGTGGTAATTTCTACCCAGTCTCCCTTATAGATTCTTCTCTCAAATACTTAAGTCCCTTGATAATGAGGAGATGACTCACAGTTTGGTATCAGAAGCCCACATCTTTTACCTGAATTCCTGATTCTGTCATATCTTGGGCTTCCAACTGAATATCTCAACTTCTTTAGACCAGAGGGCTCAAATAGAGCCTGTCCCAAATTGTTTTCTTCACCTTCCTTCCCCAGCTTAATCCTTTTAAGAAACAACTTCATCAGCGTTACCTATCTTTTTTTTGTTGTTGTTGTTGTTTTTATTGGTACCAGGGATCGAACTCACGACTGCCTGCTTGCAAGGCAGGCGCTTATGCTGCTGAGCTAAATCCCCAGCCCCCGCGTTACCTATCTTATTAAATAGCATCACCATCTTTTCTCTTAATCCATTCATCTACTCACTGATAAAATTTTTATTTGTATACTAACATGTCTTGCAAATAAACTGGCCAATAAAATAAAGCAAAACAAAGAAATCAGAGGCATTTAAATAAATTGCAAGTTGTTGTCAGTGGTTTGAATTAACAGAGCAGCTATTTTCATGGGGTGATCAGGAAAGTTTTTACTGATGTGGCTTATTATATTCACTTATTCATTCATTCTACAGGCTAATGAGTTTCATTTTGACATATTTGTACATGTGGTTACATTTATGCTAAGACATAAATCATGATAAAGGATGACATTTGAAGAGCTATTGGAACAGAAAAATAAGAACAAAGGTTGTTGTTTGAATAAAAGTCCCTGTGAGAAACAAAAAGGTACTAGGGCTTACAGGGGAGGATAGATTGGCATGAGATGAGACAAGAAAGACAGGCAGGGACCAGACTATACAGAGGCATGAGGGCATGCAAAGTCATTTTTAAAAATGGCTTTATTCGAGCTACAATTCAAAACTATACAATTTATCCACTTTAAAATATATAATTTAATGAATTTAGTATATTCATATGAATATACTATCCTTACTACAATAAATTTTAGAACATTTTCATCATCTTAGGAGCTCTATCCCCACATTAAAAAAATTCCCAATATCCTTTAAATATCCCTCCCTATCATTTCTCCCAAATCTCCACCACATCCCTAAGCAGTCAGTAACCTAATTTCTGTCTCTGTAACTTTTTCTGTTTTGCACTTACATATAAATGGAATTGACAATACGTGATCTTTTGTGATTGACTTTCTTTCACTTAACATAATGTTTACAAGGTTTGTCCATGTTGTAGCATGTATCAGTGCTTCATTCCATTGTTTTATTCAGTAATATTCTACTTTATGGAATCATCTAGTAATGGTAATTATCCAGTCATCCACTGATGATAATTTGGATTGCTTTCACCTCCTGATTACTGTGAATTACTACAAATAGTGTTACTGTAAACATTAGTGTACTAAACATTCAACCTAGGTGCAGAAATCCTGCATTACATAGACACTTTATATTTAATCATTTGAGGAATTGCTAGAACGTATTTCAAAGTGGCCACACCATTTACATTTTCATCCACAGAAACAGTTATATAAAGATTCCAACACTTAGTGTTGTCTGAATTTTTTATTCTAGCCTTTCCGGTGAGTTTCATGTAAAGGCATTTGGAAATGGAGAGACAGTTTCAGGCAAGGGCATGATGTTCTAGCCCGCAATAACAGCAGAGAAGGTAGATAAAAGTAGAGAGAAACCTGAGCTTGATTTCTGGCTTATAATTAGTTCTAGTATAAGATTGAAATTCACATCCTGTCAGCTTGGCCTCTTAAATCTTCCTTGATTATGCTCACAGACTCTCCGTTTCCAATTTCATTTCCCTTATTCCACTGTCATCTTCCCATGGGCTAACCCATGGTCTCTCCACTGTTTCCCTCTTTCCCACATCAATCTCTTCTGCTGTCAGAATGATTTGCTAAGACACTAATGTGAGCACATTATTTCTCTGATTAAATTCTTTCATTGGCTCTCTAAACACACAGACCTAACTCCTCATAGGGGTTTGTAAGGCCTTCTAGGATTTAGGTATTGCTGATTTCACTCATATCTCCTCCCCTCCCTTCCTTCCTTCCTTTCTTCTTTTCTTCCTTCCAAGGGCATCACACATGCTAGACAGGTTCTCTGCTACTGAGCTATATTCTAGTTTACAACCTTCCATTTAATTCTTTTCTCATTCTCCTTTCCTATGTCATCAGTCAGACCCACATTTAAATCTGTTTTCTAGCCAGCACTGAAGGTATAGTTGGTACTCAAAAATATTAAATTAAAATGCTATTGTTTTGCAGGTTGTTAGATTTCTTCTGGAAAAGGGAGCAGATATCACCCTTTGCAATTACAGCAATCAAACTGCCATCCATGTAGCTAACTGTGATATTCAAAGACAACTCTTGGCAGTAAAAGGAACCAAGGCTCCTCAAATACAACTTCTACAAAGTTCATGGCAAGGTGATCTTGAACAACTTCAACACTTACTGGTTAGTTAAAGTGATATTTACTTTGGCCTTTGGGTAATTGGGCAGGTAATAAGAAGTACAAAGATTACACATGTGTCTTTCATTTTAAAAAGTTATTTTTAAATGCAACCCCAGAAAGTTTTAGAAGGAAATCTGAGAAAAAAACAGGATCAAAGAGGATCCTGGAGTGGAAAGTAAATGACAAAGAATATGCCAGCAGCTATTTTCCACTTTCCTCCAGTTGAATACTAGAAGTCAGACAGTACCCTTGGGAAATGATGTGCCTCAGAAACCTCCAGAGGACTACTATCAACTTGCTCAGAGAAGTTCCCTTGACATCAGTGCCATTTGTACGGTTGCTGTTTAGATCCCCTTGGACCAATTGGAGTTATTATCTTCACCCTGAAAAGGGAATCAGAGAACCTATGCCTTGCATAATATTTAGCTGTGACTAACAGATTTAAGAGTATTGATCCTCTTATTTAGATTTTCTATATCCCCAAATCACCTTGCCAAATCATATGCATAACCAAGGACACTAATTATTGGTGACTAGCATTTGCCCACTCTTGGCATTTACCTCCAAAGAGTCTGCCAGACCCACGTGACCTTCCAACTGAAAGAAAATCAATTGTTGCTAGGAGACAGTGTCTTCTAATCCCTTACGGTAAAGTCACAAATAGAGAGAGGAAAAGTGAAAGATATTCTAGTCACGTAAACAGTTTCAAGGATAGATACAACAAATCCAAAGGACACTTTACATCCTTTTGCTATACTAAATGATAATCTAAAATTGCCGTAATTATGAACTGAGGGTTAGAAACTTTTCTTAAAGACAATATATTTTGTTTTAATAGTATGTATGACAGTTGTAATTGCAATCCAATGTCTGTTTTCCAAACTGCATTCTTTACCACTGAAGATTAGCAACCAAGCTCTAAGAAACTAGTGCCTGTATCACAGCCTAATCCATAGATATGTACTAAATTAGTGTGCCACTAGCAAGACTGTTCTCAACTCAAAACTTTCATGTTGTTTCTAACTAATAATAAACATCAATATAAAACGCAGTTTCTTCTCAGAGGCTGAAAAAATTGACTAATTAATTCCCACAGCACTCTGCTGAAGTAATGTCATTATCTCTGTTTCGTCCCTAAAGAAGCTGAGGTAAAGACACTGACTACACTGATGCGGCACACAATGAATTAGAGATGGAAATTAATGCTACTTCGGTCTATAAAATGAGTAACTTGGATATTTTGGCCTTTTAGTAGTTTTCCAGTTCTGAATTATTCAAATTAAATTTTGCTTTCATTAAAGCAACTAATGACATCTTCTTTTATTTGAGTACATAAATACTGTTACATAAACTGCCTTAATATTGTAAGGCATTCATTCAACAAATGCTTATTGAGCCTTGATTATGTGTCAGACACCCTGCTGAATGCTTTTACATTGTATCTCTTATAATCAGAATAAATCTGCAAGGAACACACTGTCATTCTAACTGCACAGCTGAGGATTCTGAGGGTCAAAAGTATAGTAGTCAAAAATAAAAATTTCGAAAATAAAAATACAGATACACCATTGAATTTGAATTTCATATAAATAACAAATACTCTTTAGGTGTAAATATGACCCAAATAAAAATCATTCATCATTTAACTGGGTGTCTGTTATTCAACAGGATAATTTTATCAGTCATTTAAGGAAGGTGTTCCTGATATAACCTATTCAGGAATGTTAAATAACCAGCTTATAGAACAAAGGCCATGATCTAGAGCTGTCTGTTTTCCACTCCCTCTGAGGGTAGATACTGAGAAAAAATGTATTAAAGTTAAGGCTAAAGTGTAGTTCAGCAGCAGTGCTTATGTTTATAAGTAAAGACTTGAGTTCAATCCCCAGCAAAATAAAAGTTAATATGAGAAGTTGGCTAAGCAGTGAAACTTCAAAGATTTGTATAAATAGGCCTATTTATAAAGCACAACACAAATAAAATTTCATATTTTTAAAGGCATCTGAAAAGTTTCTGGATGTAAATTTTCCAAACCAACATGGCTTAACCCCTCTGATGCTGGCTGTGAGAGATGTAGACCTGTTTGAAAGTCTTGATATGTTAACAGTCTACAGGCCTGTGGAAGTCCTGTCTGAACTCCTTAGGCATCAAGCGTGAGTACAAGTAGTCATTTGATACCTGCTGAAAGTCATCTATTTCAATTACTCACAGAAATCACATAGAAACCTGGACATAGGAGGTTTTTTTTTTTTTTTTTTTTTTTGGTACTGGGAATTGAACTCAGGACTTTGTGCTTGCCAGGCAGGCACAGTGCCACTGAGCTATATTCCCAACCACAGAGAATTTTTAAAACCACATATATTAAATACATGTGCATCATCATGAAAGTAACTTCACAACTGTAAAGGGATTTATAGATGTTAAAATTGGTTATTATTTCTAATATATTTGTTTTATTTGTTCAAATAATTACTGGGAATGTCAAAAAATTCTTGAATATGCAGCTGTTTACCTCCACAATGTTACTAATTATTTTGAATAACACTGTTAGTCTATCAAAAGCAATTTATACTGGTGATTTCCATTTATCTGAAAATGATTATCTACCAAATGTTTTTTAGGAGCTTATTGATAAAATTTTTTAAAAACTAAGGTTAAGTTCAGTTTCCCATTAGTGTTACCTAGATGTCTTATCATTACACATAAAAACAGATGCCCAGATCTTTCTCAGTGTTTATATAAATGGTGTTTTGAAGTAGAGAGGAGAGAGAGAGAGAGAGAGACAGAGAGAGAGAGAGACAGAGAGAGAGAGACAGAGAGAGACAGAGAGGAGAAGCTTTAAGAGGAAAAGTGTGGTCAAAGACATGCAATACTAGAAAAGTATCAGAATTATGGAATGAAAATACAGTTTTGAAGCTGTCTCAGACTTTAGTGTTAAGAAACTGCTGAAATGGTTGTAAACGGAGATTGCTAAATAGACCCCCCATCCCATCCATACTCAGATGATATTCCTGAGGTATAAACTATAGTCCAAAATACAAGATATCAAAGGCAGATGGACAAACTGAAGTCCCAAACTGAGTAGCTCACTTAAATCTACATATCAAAGTAGAGCAGCCCCAGTTCTTGATCCTATATTATTTCTTTTGAATTATAATTTTTTTCTTCACAACACTGAGGATTCAACCAGGGTCTTTGCACTGAACCTCTTTCCTATCCCTTTACTTTTTATTTTGAGACAAGATTTCTTTAAGTCACTAGCTGCCCAGGCTGAATTTGAACTCACAGTCCTCCTGTCTCAATCAATCAGAATGTTGAGATTGCAGGCCTGTGCTATCATTTTCCTGCTTGAATTAACACAGAGGCCACAAGAAAATACTGTTGTAGCCCACAGCAACAAAGAGACTCATATTGGAAGTGTTGTCAAAGCCTAAGACAAGAAGATGGTGAATTGCAAGCCAGACTGTGCTACATAGAAAGTTCAAAGGCAGCCTGGACTATGTAGCAAGACTTGTCTCAAAAACAAAAAGAAAAAAATTAATGTATGGCGAGGGTGGTTGTATGGATTGGAAGGATTTAGATCAACTTAGTTTCTTGTCCTAAAACGTAACAAAGACAATTACTTCCCTCACTATAATCTATTGAATAGGATTCTCATTATTTATGCTTTGGATCTGTCCGAGCCAATATAAAGAACTGGGATTCAATACAACATAAAGATGTTTGTGTCACTGGAAAAAGCCCTATGATTAGCCAGTTGGGCTTAACAACTCCAGGGCAAGGGAAAGAGGAAAGAAATGATCATGTGAAAAGGGACATTTTTTTTTTTTTGGTTTTTTTTTTTTGTCTTTTTCCTTTTTTATCGGTACCAGGGATTGAACTCACGACTGCCTGCTTGCAAGGCAGGTGCTTATGCCGCTGAGCTAAATCCCCAGCCCCTAAAAGGGACATTTAATGGCGAGACGACATTACTCAGTTGAGAGCTTGTGAAAAAAAGCACAATCAGCTTTGTTTTTATTTTCTTTTGTTGTGCTGGGGATGGAACCCAGGATCTCAGGCATGCTGCGCAAGTGCTCTACCATTGAAGTCCACCTCAAAGTGAGAATCTATGACACTGCACCATTTTGAATCACGAAAGAGCTAGATATTTAAGTCAGCAATTAACTAAATCATTGGAAACTTTTAAAAAAATCAAGCCAGCTACTGGGGTGATAAAACAGTAGTTTAAGATGTTTTTATCATGATTTATGCATCACTAAATTATGAAAATTTTGGTTCTGCATTTGAAATAGTCTGCAAATCTTACAATGTTTTTAGGATATTGGCAGAAATAAGATACAGAAAATGCTTCTTATTTAAATTTTTGAAAATTTTCATCCTCTGTCTTGTACATTTTGAGTTTTTCCACCCATCTTATGCATTTTGAAATCACTATTGTCATAAGATTATTTATTTGGTATCAGTGGTTTTTCCTTCAAAGTTGACTTCTTTTTTTTCAACATATTTAAAATAAATAATCTTCAGCATTAACTCTTTTTCCTAGAGATCCTAAACTCTGTGATTTCAGTGGAAAATCAACAATATATTATGTGTCACAAATAAAGAGTGGGAGGAAACAGCAGTTATTGGATATCTTGATGAATTCTATACCAAAACCAGGTAAATATTTCATTTCCACATGTACAATTTCCCAACTATAAAAGGCATTTTGTCTTTTTATATTCGCTTGATGGATCTATGTTAAAGAAAGTGAGCAGGCAACTACTCACTGATCAGTGACTGTACCAGGTCCATGACTATGTGCTCTGGGGTGCAAATGTTTCAAACTCTTGAGAGTGAACAGAAAGGCAGAGAGTGAAGATGTCTGGGGCACTGATGTGAGGATCATGGCGACACTGATGCATCCACCCACGAGTTCAGAGTTAAATGTGCTGTTAGGATGTGGGACCTGGTTGGAGGTGGCTCACTGGCCTCAAGACCTGGAAGGGTGTATCTGTCTCCCAGCTCTCAAATCCTCTGCTTCCTGACTGCCATGGAAGGAGCACTGATCCTCCACTCAGACCCTTTTCCTCATGTGTTTCTGCCTTGGAGCCTGTCAGCCACGGACTGGACCCTGAGCTAAGGTAAATCTGTCCTTCAAGTTGTGGGTGTCTATATTGTGTCTCAGTGACACTTACCAAGAGTCAACTTTTGGCTCAATATAAATCAAATCAGCTCATACCTAACAGTGTAGCCCACTGCAGCAACACTGTGGAGTACTGGGACATGAGAAAGTTTTTCACCACTGAAACCATCAACAGGGGCCTCACCTGTTGTCAACCAAGAGGGTTGTTCAGGGTTAAGAAGTCCTCTTCTTTTGAGGTCCATGGACAGAAGAAGAACATCTGTCTTTCACTTTTCCTAAGGATGACCCCTCATGCAGGCATATCTCTAATTCAGAAGAGAGAGAGCTTTCTTTGGCCTTTAAAGGGAAGAAGATCTCTGGTGTTCCTCAAGACTAGATAAGACATGGAAAGGTCTGACATAGGTGGGGATAAAAGACTGACAAACATAGAACAAGGTACAACGAAAAGCATACTTCTGCAACCTGTGACTTTTTGAAAGCTGCTTGATTTTAGGGTTTGATTTGACTTTTCATTTGAAGATTCTGGGACAGGGGAGAAGGCTATATCTAAGCCTATGGGAGAGGTGAGACTCAATCTGATTCGTGAAATGAGGAATGGATTTGATTTTGTGGAGGAGAGGTACTATGCTGTGAATAAGTATGACCTATCCCAGGGCAAACACTGAATTCAAAATGCATGTCATGGGGGAAAAAAAGAAACCAAAGATTGGATATGTAAAGAAATTGGATCTAAGCTGCAGAACAATTTTTAAAAGGTAAAATAGCATCACTAAAGAATTGTAAGCTGGAGGTGATGAAAGCCATGTTTTATAAGAAAAGTAACTCATTTGTTATTATAAATAATGAATTTGAAAGAGAAAAACAGCTACCTCTATTTTAAAAACTAGAAAGTGCTCAAAAGTGTGGCAATAAGAACTAGAAAAAGAGTTTTTGGATGGGGCATGGTGGTGGGCCTGAGAGGTGCTGGCTAGGGTGATTGCAAACAGTAATGTAAATGAAGGAGTTCAGAATGTAAAGATATAAAGGTAACAGAGGAGACACAGAAAAGTTGAGAGAGTTAAGTTAAAGCTGATTTGAAAGTTTCTACTCCAGCAAGTGCGAAGATGGAAATGCAACCAACAAAATGGAGAGCACTACAGGATTGATAAAACTGCAGACTGAGAAACTTGCAGATGGATGAACCAAGGAAGTACACCCGGTGAGAGAGTGGGGTCCATGCCTGGATTCAGGACTGAAAGTGGGAAGAAGAAAATCAGGAAAGAGTTACAAGAAGAAAGGGATGGGAAACAATGTCAGATAGCACAACAGTTACAAGGCAGATATGGGAAGAAAGGTTTCAGCGAGAGAGTAGAGGCACAAGATGGATTGCAAAGAATAAAGAGAGAGGGAAATATGGTAAAGAAATTGATAGTCTCAGCATAGGTCATTTGTCCAACTTTGTTTCCATTACAAACTAAATGGAAAGGGCTCTTTTCATTGAAAGATCCCATGCTTTTTCTACCCACTTTATTTTATTTTATTTATTTTTTGGTACTGGAATTGAACTCAGGACCTCATGCTTGCTAGTCAGGTGCTGTGCCACTGAGCTATATCCCCAGCTTAATTTTATTTCTGATACAGGGTCTCACTAAATTGTCCAGGCTGGTCTTGAACTCATGATCCTCCTGCCTCAGCATCCTCCATAATGAGATTATAGCCATGTGCTAGCACACTCTGCCTGTTCCATGCTTTCCTGAACAAGTCAGGATGGGGTGGCAGCATTATACACATGAGAATGATGTTTCTTGGAAACTAACTGGGTGCCTCAGCTTGATGCTCAGAACTCTATTTATTAGCACTTTTGCCTAAACAAACAAACAAACAAACAAACAAACAAAAAAAAACAGTTAAACCAAAGATGGTGGATAGGATAACAGCAGGCTACAGAGGCTCCCTGAGATACTCAACTTAGATTCCAAAAATAATACAGCGTGGGGAGTCTCAAACAGAGGGAGATAGATCCTCCTGACCCAGGAACAAATTAAGCTGAGAGAAACCAATTAAATATACAGTCCCAGAGCTACTATTGGAACAGCAAAAGTCTTGGTGCGTCTGCCATAGCGCTTGAACTCTCGCAGCCAAGACTTATTGAGCTACCAGAAAGCCCGCTGCCATTTCAACTCATGGGAGATGCACTCACACTGAGGATGGGAGTTGGCAAACCAAACAGAGAGCTGAGCTGGCGGGGAACCTGCATCGACCTGCAGTGAGTGACAAGAATAAAACCCTTCCATAGGAAAAGGATCTCCAACAGATGACATTCTGGGGCCGGACAGACTGGCAAGAACAAGGAGCTGCAGTGACTTCACTCAGCTGTTCCCATCTCAAGGGGGATTGGTGGGGAGCGCTTGACCTGGGTCATGCCCTGGACTGAGACCCAATAGGCTAGCCCAAACCAAGTCCCTACACCTGACAGTGCACCCTAATGCAGTGAAGCCCTCAGCAGGTTGACTGACTCGGAGGGGAGGGCCCAGCGTAGGCTGCCCCAGTCCGTATCTCTGTAGCACACTGCAGTGGGTGGGAGCACCTAGTTAGTGCACTTCAGACGAACTCTAACCAACAAAGAAAGAAATTGGGGCCTCCTATATACATCTATATGGAAGGAAAAAAATATGAGAAGAGGAAGCAAAAAGAAAGGTCCGTAGCCACCAACCCTGAGAACATTGATCCAGGAAAGGTAAAGGCAAAGGAGATTGAGGATGCCAAACATGCAATATCAGACATGGCACCAGTGGACATAAAGCAATATCTTTGGGACCTCATAGACGAGTTCAAAAGTGAAATATTTAACCAAGTAAAGCAAGATATAAATAGAATAATAAAAGAAATGCTAAGCACCTCTCAAGAAAAAACAGATGGACAGTTGGAGGAACATTAAAAAAAGAGAGAATTGTTTGATGGAGAAAATAGAGAAAACATAGAATACATGAAGCAGGTTCAAAGAGATTACCAGGAAATTAAAAACTCCATTGAAAGCTGGCAAAACTGCTTGAAAGAAACTAAGGACAGATTATCCAAACTGGAGGACAGGTTTGCAATGTGGGATCATGAAAGGAAAAATTTCTTTAAAATAACAAGGAAACAAGCAGTAACAATACAAAGGCTAGATGACAACAAGAGGATCTATAACTTAAGAATAAAGAATGTAAATGAAGAAGCAGGGGTACAAACAAAGGAATTGCAAAGGCTATTCACAGAAATAATTAAGGAAAACTTCCCAAACATAGGAAAAGGAAAAGATATTCACATGTATGAGGTATACAGAACTCCAGCCATCTACAACCAAAACAGAACTGTATCCAGGAATATAATAATCAAGATCCCAGATATCCAATATAAGAACAGAATATTAAAAGCGGTCAGAGACAAGAAACAGATTACTTACAATGGAAAGCCCATCAGAATTATGGCCCTGCAAAATTGTCTCTAGAAATTAATGGAAAAACAAGATGCTTCCAAGATAAAAAAGGAGAATTCACAACCACCAATACAACTCTACAGAGAATATACTACAGGACATTCTAAAGAGAAAGAAAAGCACCAGGATTTCAGGAACAGTGGCAGAGAGGCCCCAGTAAATGGAGCAAAAAGCGAAATGAAGACAAATAGATGACTAATGATGGGAAAAGAACACATCAGAAATGGGGTAGAGAAGGTTGGATATAATTTCTAATATAGATGGCCTAGGTACACTAAATTAAGGAAAAAAGAGAGAATTTCAGGCAGAGTGGATCAAGAGGTAGAGTCCACCGAGATGCTCTTTATAGGAAATATAATTAACCTGAAGAAGGGTATATGGACTGAAAATCAAATATGAGAAAACAGCACTCTATGTAATAGGGAACCAGAAAGTAATATGGGCAACTGGACCAGTATTTATGGATAGATAGGAAAGATAGGCTTTAATAAGTAAAGAAATACAATTAGAGATCAAGCCCAGGAGTGAGCAAGTTGGGAAACACTTAAAATAACAGGTTGCTCCCCCAATATAAAACCGAGGATGTTGGGGAGACCCAAAAATGCACAGTACACCCTGGGGGAGTGAAAGGGGAGGAATAGTCTTTAAAAAGACAGCAGAAGCTATTGTTAATAGTGTATCAGGAATTAAAACCCACATTACTCGCACCACTTTGCTTAGATAGAACTTATTCTGTCCCAGTTTGTATACACTAGATCTGAGGACACAAACTATCCCCAAAATATCAGGATATTGCACAGTAATCATCTTTAATTTCCTATTAACTTAATCTGGAGCCCTGTATAACTTATACTGGTATATCATGAATGATCTTAGTTAAATATGATTTGTTTGATTGCTGTTTGTTATTGTCAGATTTTATTCAAAATTGTTAAGGTTGATAGTATCAAGTCAGAGAGTATAGACAACTATACCGAAAATGACAATGATTCACCAAGATACCCATTCTAATTTGATTACTACCTGTATTAGTAGTTCTACACTATCTACAAAGTTGTATTTCTATTAATAGTTATGTACTGATATATTCAATTATACTTTATCTGATGATATAGCCAATTCTATTGATGATAACAAGAGACAACACAGTAACCATGGTAGAACTCCTTGTACAGCAGTTTTATGTCTTTTTAGTTTTATGTGTCTACAGGAATATGTTTTGTTCTGTCCTGCTTTGTTCTGTCTCTCCCTCTAATATAGAAAGGATAGAAATATATGTTAAGACTCATGCTTGCCTAAAAATCTATAAACAGTTTACGAGAACTGATCTTATGACACATGATGAAATGAACAAATACTTTGAAGGAAAAAAAAAGGCACTACAGTACCCAGTGCCAATTCCAGAGTGTCATGATGTGAAATCCACAAATATTATTATTCTTTGTTCAGAGTGATATTAGTCTGCTTTGTTTTGTTTAATCTCAACACAAATGAAGATATGGATAAATGCAAGTATGTTTAAGTGTATAGGATTGATAATCATATTACTAAGTTTTTATTAGATAGTTGAACAGAACTATTTGCAGTCTCCTCATTTGAATTCCCATTTATATGTTCCACTTTTGTGTCTTGAACAATTATTTGTAAGAGGACACTATGTAATCATCAACTAGTGATTTATTACTGTTTATTTTTTCCTTTGAAAGTATGTACTATTTCTACCCATTTTCTGTTTTGTTTTGTCTTTCTTTAAATAAAATTTTAAAAAAATTAAAAAAAACAAAAACAGTTAAACCCATATGTTTGAAGGAGTAATAGCTGATCACTAATTTGCTTAGCTTCACAATATCTTTCTTTTTCACTAAAGAATAAAGATTGTGTGATGTAAATTTGTGTGTGTGTCTTTGTGTGTTGTGTGATATTGAGGATTGAACATGGGCCTTTATAATGAGCTATAAGTCACTAAGTTGCTTGGGCTAGGCTCAAACTTGTGATTCCCTTGCACATCCAACTCTGTAATCTAAATTTTTAAAATTACTGGATGATCAGCAAGTCCCTATTGTATGTACTCTGACTTTATTTGTTAGCCATATGTGCTGAAATCATCCTCACTTTCTGCAAAGTTTTTCTTCAGCCACCCATCAGTGGAAGTCTGTGTGATGAGTCATCCTCAGGAAAGGTGAAGGACAGATGTCCTTCCTCTGTTTGGACCTCTGAAGAAGAGGGCTCCTTAACGCTGAACAGCTATTGATGGTTTCAGTGGTGAAAAACTCTTTTGCATGTCCCAGTACCCAACAGTTGCTGCAGTGGGCTACACTGTTAGGTATGAGCTGACTTGATTTATGTTGAGCCAAAAGTTGATTCTTGTTAAGTGTCACTGAGACATAATATAGACACCCACAACTTGAAGGACAGGTTTACCTTAGCTCAGGGTTCAGTCCATGGCTGACAGGCTCCAAGGCAGAAACACATGAGGAAAAGGGTCTGAGTGGAGGACCAGTGCTCTTTCCATGGCAGTCAGGAAGCAGAGGATTTGAGAGCTGGGAGACAGATACACCCTTCCAGGTCTTGAGGCCAGTGAGCCACCTCCAACCAGGTCCCACATCCTAACAGCACATTTAACTCTGAACTCATGGATGGATGCATCGGTGCTCCATCATCCAATTGTTCTCTAAACTCATGAAGCTTTTGGGGGACAATCTAAATCTAAATCATAACAATAGATTTTAATTCTTCATAGAATTTAAGATTAAGTGCCTAGTATTGATTGATTGAATTTTAACTCAAATATTCTACTTGCTCAGGATCTCAACATATCCATTTTTTTCTCCTTGAATAATATCAGTCACAGCCTTCACTTAAAAAAAAAAACCAAACATCTACACTGTGGATTCTTGTTGTTTTCACCTCTCTCTAGTAAAATTTATTGAACCTTCATCAAGATCCCTGACCATTAGCCAGGCATGGTGGCACATGCCAATAATTCCAGCACTGGGAAGCCTGAGGCAATAGGATAACCTCAAGTTTGAGGCCAGTTTGAATGACACAAGTCCAAGGCCAGCCTGAATTACATAGCAAGACCCTGTCTCAAAAAACAAAACAAAATTGTAAAAGACCCTAGACCAATGGTGGTGAACCTATGGCAGGCAAGTTACAGTTGGATGTTTATATTGTTGAAAGTTCTAAAATGTTCATCATCGCTGTCCTAGACTATTATTAGAAAAAGAAAAAAAATGGAGGTGAATTTAGGAAGAGTTAGAGCTTCCTGTTAAATTGTTGGAAATGAATCTTATCAAAACATGATGTTATGCTTCTTTTTGACAGAAAGACATGCTGAATCATTGCTTGACATTTGTCATGATACAAACTCTCCTCTAGCTGATACAATGACAGCTACCAAAAATCAAAACATCATCTTGCAAAGCATCAACAGCAGTGAGGTAAGAGGCTTCCTTTAAAGAAATGGACTAAAAAAAAAAAAAAAAAAAAAAAAAACAAAATAAAAACAGAGAACCTGTTCCATCTACCATTTCATTTGTGTTGCTTGAAAATTTTGTGGTAATCATATATTACAACTAGAATTTTAATGTAATCATTACAAAATATAAAGCACAGTTAATAAAACATTTTTCTCAGAATCTACTGAGTAGTAATTAGCTAGTCAACTCTAGTTCCACATTCTGTGTGTGTGTGTATGCATGTGTATGTTAGTCGTTTGCTATAACAATAGCTTATAAACAATAGAAATTTATTTCTCACAGTTCTGAACACTGGAAGTCTAATTAGAGTGTCAGTGTGGCTGGGTTCCGGGGCGGTGCTTTTCTGGGGTGCAGAATGCTAGCCCTCATAGTATTCTCATGTAGTGGAGAGGGAGTTAGCGCTCTGGGATCTGTTGCATAAGGAACTAAGTCCATCATGAAGTTCTACCCTTATTACCTAATCTGACTTCCTAATACCATTATTTTGAGGGTTAAGGATAGCAATGTCTAAATCTTGATGAGACACAAGTATAGTATTCACTCCATCTATAACTCAGTGCATGATACCATAGAGGATTACAGCAGCTAAATGAATACTAAATAACATTTTACACAATATCATTTAATTAAATTTTTTTTCTTTTCTCAAACAATACTTTATTACTTTTGTTGTATAGAACTTTCTCTTTTTTCATTTTTTCCTTTTTCTTTTTGGTACAGAATTTTCATTACTCCATGTTTTTTAGCATGTAATGGTAATTTTAAGAAACATGGTGTCACGCTAGTTCCCTATCCTGTACCTCAAATTTTAGGGTCTTTTCCCAGATCCAGTACTTTATACAATGTTAGGGGGACTTTGTAGTCATTGTTCTGGGAATAGATGGGCCCTTTCATTTTCTTTCTTTTTTTTTTTTTTTTTAAACTTTTTATCGGTACCAGGGATCGAACTCATGACCACCTGGTTGCAAGGCAGGTACTTATGCCACTGAGCTAAATTGCCAGCCCCAAGGGCCCTTTCATTTTCAAAACTCATGTCCTTTGGTTCTAGAAAATTTTCTTTTTTCTTTAATTTTCTTTATTCCTTTTAAAGTGATTTCTTGCTAGCCAGGTATGGTAGCAAGCACTTGGGAGGATCACTTAAGTCCAGGAATTAGAGACCAGCTTGAATAACAGTAAGAATCTTTCCCCTCAAATAATAAATAAATAAGTAAATAAGCAAATAAAATTCACAAAAATGAATTAAAAAATTATTTCTTCCCCTTCATTTCTTCCTCCATCTACATTAATTTTTTCCTTTTTGTTTTCTCAATTTTTTTCTCCTATTAAAGATTTCCCCCCAAACACCTGGAAATCTTTAGCTATTCATATTTGAGAAGACACTAAAATCTGGCTGGAAGCTCTCTATTTATGGTACAATTTATCTACTGGTGGACTTCTCCAGGGTTGATCTAATAGTGATATGATTTTGTTTTAGAGGATTTATAAATATAGTGTTTTCAGATCTGTTCTCTGGGCTCATTGAATATCTTCAGAAAAGGATCTTCCAATCTTTCAACTCAGTGGTATATACATCGGCTACTGCCGCATGGAAGCTGGGTTGGAATGGAGGATGAATGCGGTAATTTTATCAGGCAGTGAAATTACCCTGAATGAAACTAGTGGTGGACACGTCATTAGGTATTTGTCCAAAACCATGGACTGTACAACACCCAAAGCAAACCCTAATGTACACTGGGTGATAACGGGTGTCAGTGTCATCAGCTATTACAAACATACCCCTCAAAGAAGGTGGTAATAATGGAAGAAGCTGCACATAAAACTGTTGTCCCTTTTTGATTTTGTTCTGAACAGCACTGAAAATAGCTTATTAAAAAAAACAGAATTTTTGTGTTTTGTTGGGGGGATTACATAGGAAAGAAAATATAATTACATCACACAGTACAAGCCCCTCATAATCACAATGAGGCTTTTGGTTTACCAACAGAAAGTAAATTTATTGCCAGAATGAGTGCAAAGCATTAGAGTGTTAAACTGTAAACTACTATAATGAGTGAATAGCTGGTGTCTCGCTTCTATGGCCTAAGAGACACCATAATAATCATCTAGAGACAGGGAGGAAAATGCCATAAGAAACAGCTGTGCTCGCAAGTGACTGCCTCTGAGGAGAAGAGTGGGGAAGGAAATTGATTACTGTGTTGCTGTTAAATCTTTTGCCATTATTTGATTTTTTAAAAAATGTGATTTGATTTTGATCCGAAATCAAAATTAAAAACATAAAAATAATGAAATGGTTAAATTAAGACTTCTCTGGGGCATGACATAAAACAGAAACTTCTATTTTTGTAATTCTGTTAGAGTAGGCTGTGCATTTATAACATATCCAAACAAGTTAATCTGCAGCTTCTCAAAATGGCTTTCGTATTGGGGAGGGAGGTGGGGGGCAGCATCCAGGGTGTGCATTGGTAACGCTTGAGACCTTTTGGTGGTTTAACTGGGAAAGAATGCATGTAGTGGAACAGAGACCAAGAATGCTGTTTAACATTCATTCAGTGATGCACAAGTTTGCCCCATTACAAAGATTGATCATGCCCTAAATGTCAGTAGCTTTGAGGCTGAGAAACTGTCCTGGATACTCGGTGGTAGAGCACACACTTAGACACAGCCCAGGCTTCAATCTCTAGCACCACTAAAACCCTATACCCTGCTATGTAGTAGGTTGTATTGTTTTGGGTTTCAAATATCATATTGTAATAAAATTAAAGTGCCTAGAGTCTTGTCTTTAAAGTCAGTGTCATGCATTGGAAACTGATAAACAGACCTATTTACTTTTCATTTTTTATGGTACATTTAAGAAAGAAAGCATGTATTTAAAAAGACAAAAAAATCTCCTTATACTAGTAAAATTTTTCATGCAACTTTAAAACTTAAAAAAAAACCCTTCCCTATATATTTTTCTTATTGTAATTGAAATCAAATTTGAACTCCTTTATGGGGAAGAGCAGGGTAAAATAGACTTCTTCATTACTGTGATAGAATTTTTGGCGCAGCTAAAAAGATAAGAGGTATGAAATAAAGTGGCCTTTATTTTAAGAATGTGGAGAGAGACTCCATGGCCTCTGGGGTCTGGCATTCTCTCTGCCTGACACGTGGTGCGGAGGCATACATATAGCTTAGGTTTGGGGTGGTGCCTAAGGGGCATTACTGATGCACAGGTAGCCCATTGGAATTCATTTCGCACCACGGGTAAATTGCTTAGGGGTGGGGAAGATGACCTCAAGATAGAGCCTGTTGGTTCCACCTCCCAGCCTCCCATCACTGCAGCATCCCATCCAGGGCAAAACCCTTTCATACTGAACTTGCCTTTTCCTTCCTAGTGCTTTCTTTAGGGTTTAGATTGTAAAACCCAAGTTTGACCTTTGCTTTTTTTCTTTGCATGGAGGCTTGCATCGCTTACTTGTCTGAAATAGCTTTTTATTGTTTATAAATAATGCAGTTACTTTGCTTGTAGGATTGTTGTTGATGGACTGTTTATAGGTTCTTTCAGTTTTTTGTTTTTTTTTCATCTAGGGTGAGCCTCTCTCTAAATTTAATTGTGTATGATGTTTAGGCTACTTTTCCCTTCTGTGTGTTTCGTGGTCTGATGTTTGCGGTTGAGAATGCTATGATCTGTTTCTCATTTGTCCCATGATCTGTTTCTCATTTGTCTTGGGTTGTTGCTAGTGGTTTATGAAATCAATCTACGTTTGGGATTTGCTAATGTTCTCTCTCCTACACTCACTACTATGTATCATTATTTCAATTCTCCTTGTCACACCAAGCATAACTTAATTTCTTTGGTAACTAGCATCCTATAAAAAATTAGAAAATTTTGTGCTGCTTTGGTTTTTGGAGTATTTCTTGTATTTCTTTAATGATCACGTTCAAAGTGAGTCTTATTCTCTACATCCCTTTTGTTTGCGATATTTACAGTTTTTTAATTTATTCCAGAGAAGAGATTTTTGTCAGGCCCGTTTAGCTATTATACATCTTTCTTTTTTTCCTTTTTTTTTTATTTTAAAGAGATTAAGGCAAAAGAGGACATAACAAAGCAGATCAGATCAGAACAATGTAAGCAACACAGTATTTCACCACCAGACAACCCATAATTAACATTACCATAATGTCTCTTTCTTTGAAATAGTTGAGAATAACTTCATATACAATAGTATCAAACATAACAAAATAGTATAAAACCATTCAAGAGAATGAAAGTATTACAGGGCATTCAGAACCAAATAACCAAAAATGAACAATGGCTACTGTATTATCTAATTTTCCATAGAAAATTTGTTTATACTATCACACATAATAAAATCCAATAAGATACAACATGATAGGGGCTGGGGATTTAGCTCAGCAGCATAAGCACTTGCCTTGCAAACATGTGGTCATGAGTTCGATCTCTGGTACTGGTAAAAATACAAAAAAAAAAAGATACAACATGATAGAACCAATGGAAATGGAAGGAGAAAAGCATGGTAGGACTTCACAGTAAGATGATATTAAATCAGCAGTGGCTATCACAGGTCTTGTTTTCTTCAAAACACTATCACAGAGAACAAAATCAAACAAACCAGAATAAAACAACTCCAACTAATGAATGCAAACATTATAAGGCTTCAAAGCAATGTAATGGGGAATCATGATTATCATAAACCCTTATGTACTTTTAACATTTCTTATCCTAGGGAGACTATATGGTATTTATACATGTGAGTTTGATTTATTTTGCTTATGAGTATGGTCTCAAGCTGTGTCCATTTATTTATAAATATCTCAATGTGATCATTATTTGTAGCTGAATAGTACTCCATTGTATAAAAATACCACAACTTTTTTACCCATTCCTCAGTTGATGGACACTTAGGTTGTTTCCAATATATGTCTATTACAAATTGTGTTGCTATATACATGGGTGCACA